TCCCGTCATCTTTTGGCTGATTAAATCTTGCTCTACTAGCTCTTTATTCTGCAGTTGCATGCACAGTTAATGTGAAGAAAGCCATGAGAATCTTCAGAAACTGATTAACAACTCCATGGTTTATAATGCACAGTGTTTATTTAGGCACCCAAATGGATTCATAAAAATCTGTATTCAGATTCTCTGATGAACACACACACGAATAAAATATCTAGAGCCAGCAGACTATGTTTTATTTAAAGTTTTTGTATAAGTATAGAAAATTACATTACCAAAGTTGTTACAAAACTGTTTCCATTAATAACTTATCAAACTAGTTTTATTTCTTGAAAACCTCCAAAGTAAGTTAAAAGCTGTGCCGGCAGCTGGTTGAATTTGTCCTGGAGGGTTTGGATGGGGCTATGGGCTGCTGGTGAATGACCCTCTTGTGGATTCAATCCTGCATTATCTCCTAGAAAGCTATGTTTTTCAGAGTGGAATAAAGCCTATTTAGTAAATTATTATTATTGTTTTTAAAACTAAATGACTGTTTATTAAAAAAAGAAAGTGACTAAAATTCAAATTTTTCCTCATTACCTGAGGCATAATCACATTTTCAGCTGTTCAACAAGGGTGGTAATGTGGAACAGGAGCATGATAACATTTGCCATCATCCCAGCTGGTTCTCCAAAAAATGAAATCTCCTCACAAGCTTCCAATCAATGAACCCACATGATCATTGAGAACAAGGTACGGTATAGAAGTAATCTGATAACGTGTATGAACTTGTAGACCTCTTTTATTTGGACATGATGTTATTTGAAACAGAAATTAAACCCTGATTTCATTCAAGGAGATGGAAATTTGACTTCAGTGTGACCAGGATTTCATTACTGGAGAGCATAATGCTATAATTTCAGAAGCAGATACTGGATCCTTTCATTTTACCAGTGGTTACAAATATTAAAGTGGAGAGAAAATACTAAGAACTTTTTAAAATAGTTTTCAATGTTATTACAAGATTCATCAGCTGAAAAGGAAACTGGGCACGTTTGCAGGAGAAGTGAGGCAAACGTGTTTCACAGTGTTTCAGAAAAAAAAGCCATATATAATAATGTAACATGTATCTTCAAAGTCAAGACTGGGTGTTTCCTAAAGTTTTGGTCTACTTTGAGCAGGAATTAATTCAAGGAATCCAGTGGCATGTGCAGTACAAGAAGTCAGAGTAGATAGCTTCATAAGCTGTGACACTAGTTGTCTATAATTGAGCCATCCATTAATCAAACTGGTTTGAACACAATGGCAGTTTCCCTGTTAATGCTTATTCATTCATAAAGTGAATACATTATGGATTATTATTTTTAAATACACTTACTTGTAGAAATATCTATAATTAAGAGTCCAGACCTTTGAGCTAGACAACCATGAGATATACTGAGCTGAGATACTAGGTGTAAATAGCAGCTGCTGCTCACACGATGTGGTGGTTGGTTAGTCAATTAGGTGCTGCTGTTTTTATTTCAACTGCATACACTATTCCATGCCTGACATCCATAAATCTGCAGTGGGTTGTGATTAACATTTAGCCCAGTGGTAGAGGATGATGTACTATCTTTCAGTTATTGAACCCATCTTCATTGCTTACTCTTTTCCTTGTAAAAAGGTGATGTTTTAACTAATACACATAATACTGAAGCATAAGAATGCATTGGTTTTGCAATGGCTCTGATAGTTTTGCTATTTTATCCCTTACACCACAGCATTTTCAGATCCTGATTCTCTGGGTGACCCTATAAGTTGCTGAGCTCATGCACTGGGCAAGACGCTTCCCAGACAAAACTGTGAGTGGGCTAGGGCAGATATGGCTACACCTGCTTAGGGAGTTTGTCAGAGTACTTTTGCAAGAAAATTTCTTATTACCAATTTGCTTCTTCAGCATTCCTCTTTTCTTTCCATTTCACTGCTTTACTTTCTTGTGGAAATGTTGCACCTCAAGTCCCAACATGTGTGCTTAGTCAAAAAGGAGCGTGCCAAAGATTTACTGTACAAATAATTTAACACAAGACTAAATAAACAGATAGCAGAGATCACATCCTTTGGAGGCTTACATCACTCTACACTGCTCATGAATGGCAAGTGGCACTAGAAATCTTTTCGCTCACTTCAATACTTTGCTCATAATTTTGACAGGACTGTTTTCTTGATGCTATATCCAAGCTTCAAGGTGTAGTACAACTGATAATTGTAGGCAAAACACTTGTGCACAAAACTGTGATCACATAATCATAGAATTATGGAATCATAGAATGATTTGGGTTGGGAGGTACCTCAAAGATCATCCAGTTCAAACCTCCCACCCACCACTTCAGGCTGCCCAGGGCCCCATCCAACCTGGCCTTGAGCGCTTCCAGGGATGGGGCATCCACAACCTTTCTGGGCAGTTGTGTCAATGCCTTACCATCATCTCAGTGATAAACTTTCCCCTGACATCTAATCTAAATTTCCTCTCTTATAGTTTAAAACTATTCATAGAATCACAGAATTGCTCAGGTTGGAAAAGGCTTTAAAGACCATCAAGTTCAACCACAACCTAACCATACTACTCTAACTATAGCAACTCTCTGCTAAATCATGTCCCTGAGCACCACATCCAAATGGACTATAAACACATCCAGGGGTGGTGACTCAACCACCTCCCTGAGGAACATATTCCAGTGCTTAACAAATCTTTCTGTAAAGAAGTTTTTTTCCGATAGCCAACCTAAATCTCCCTTGGTGCATTTCCCCTCGTCCTGTCACCTGTCACCAGTGAGACCAACCCTGCTCTTGCTGTAATCACCTTTCAGGTATTTGAAGAGAGCAGTAAGGTCCCCCCTCAACTTCCTCTTCCCGAGACTAAACAGCCCCAGTTCCTTTAGTTGCTCCTCATACTCTCCAAGACCTTCACAAGCCTTGTTGCCCTTCTTTGGACCTGCTCCAGCACCTCAATGTCTTTCCCGTATTGAGGCGCCCAAAACTGAACACAGCACTCGAGGTGAGGCCTCACCAATGCTGCGTACAGGCCAGGATTACTTCTCTAGTCCTGCTCACCACACCATTCCTGATACAAGCCAGGATGCCATTGGCCTTCTTGGCCACCTGGGCACACTGCTGGCTCATGTTCAGCCGACTGTCCATCAGTACACCAAGGCCTCTTTCCATCAGGCAGCTTTCCAGCCATTCCTCCCCAAGCCTGTAGGGTTGCCTGGGGTTGTTGTGACCAAAATGCAGGACCTAATGCTCTACCCAGGTCCCTCTGTAGTGCCTTTCTCCCCTCTGGCAGATTGACACTGTCTCCAAACTTGATGTAATCAGCAAACTTACTGAGGGTGCACTCAATCCCCTCATCAAGATCGTTAATAAAGATGTTAAATAGAAGTGGCCCCAGTACCGAGCCCTGGGGGACACCACTAGTGACCAGCTGCCAACTGGATTTAACTCCATTGACCACAACTCTTTGGACCTGACCACCCAGCCAGTGTTTCACCCAGAGGAGCCCATCCACTCCCATCCAAACCGCGGGCAGCCAGCTTCTCCATGAGAATGTTGTGTCAAAGGCTTTAATGCAGTCCAAGTAGACCACATCAACAGCCTTACCTTCATTCACTAAGCAGGTCAGCTTGTCACAAAACAAAATCAAGTTTGTCAAACGGGATCATAAACCCATGCTTACAGGGCCTGATCCCCTGGTTACCTTAAACTGATCCCCTGGTTTACCTTTAATTGATCCATGATGGCTCCGGAGAATATCTGCTCCATGGCCTCCCCCAGCACCGAGGTGAGACTGATAGGTCTGTAGCTACCAGGATCATCTTTCCGTCCCTTTCTGAAGATGGGCGTCACATTTGCCGGTCTCCAGTCCAACGGGACATACCCAGTTAGCCATGACTGTCGAAGGATGATGGAGAGTGGCTTGGCAACCACATTCACCGACTCCCTCAGCTCTCTAGAGTGCAATCCATCTGACCCCACAGATCTGTGAGTGTCCAGGTTTGGAGCAGGTCCAAAATCATCTCATCTTCATCCCTGTCCTATTACTTATCTATCCATGTAGCAAGTTGATTTCTCTCCTAGTTTTAAGCTCCCTTTAAGTACTGGAAGGCCACAATGAGGCTACCCCTAAGAACTGAACAAGCCCAGCTCCCTCAGCATGTCTTCATAGGAGGGCTGCAGACAGCATTACAATACTGTATTAATACGGACTGTTTCTTGTCAGACTGTTTTTTAATCATTTTAATAATAGATTTAGTCTTCATAATTCTAAAATAGTAATTATTTTGAATAAATTCAGAGGTTGTTTTTTTATTATTATTTTGTTTGTTTATTAGAAGCTTTGTTATAATTGCAGCATGGTTGTGATGTAATATTCAGACTGTATGACAGCAACAGGAACTTTTACTTGCTGCTTTATTTCTTTATTATTGAGAGAATCCTAACACTTTATGTACCTGATTATGACAGTTTTCCATCAGTTCCGTGGGATTTTTTTGCTTGTACCACAGGAAATTACCCTAAAGCATTCAGAGGTGGTGGCCAGCTTTCCAGCCTCCAGAGCATAACCTAACCTGGGTGCCACAAACCACGGGTGACAGTACTGGACAGGCCAAGGCCCCAACACGACTCTGAGGCCACATCTCTGGCAGTTTTTGTGACCTCCTGCCCATCCGACCAGGCTGGTGGCCTTGCTACCTCACACGGCCAGCCCCTCTGCCATTTCCCAGATGGGCGCAGGATTGAAGCAGACAGCACCTGAGCGCCTTACTTAGGAAGAAGCCTCCTGCGATATGAGCAGCAGCTTCCCTCGGCTGTGTGTCTGCAGGCTGTGCCTTTCGCAGCCCCGCTGTCGCCCCAGACAGGGGCTGCGTTACCCATTTCTCACGGACCGCGCGCGTGAGCTGACGCGACCCCTTTCCCGCCGCCAGCACGCGGCGGAGCTCCGGGCCGGCTCTCCCAGCGCCCAGCCCGGCCGTTCCTCCGCGGCGTGAGGGCGGCTTCCCGGGTGCCCCTCCCGGCGCCAATCCCCCGCCGGCCGGAGGAGGCGCTCCCCCGGCGCCCGCTGCCGGTGTTAGGCGGGCCGGGCCCTGTAGGCGAACCCGGGGCCCCGCCGGCGTCGCCCCTTCGCCTGCGGAGGGATGCGCTCGGAGGCGGCGCCGCAGCCCGGCGGCCTGGAGAGGTTCGCCAGTCCCGGCAAGGGCCGGGGCCTGCGGGCTCTGAGGCGCTACGCCGTGGGAGAGCTGCTCTTCAGCTGCCCGGCCTACACCGCCGTGCTGACCGTCAGCGAGCGCGGCGGCCACTGCGACGGCTGCTTCGCCAGGTAGCGCTGCGGGCCGGGCCGGGGAGCGGGGGCTGGGAGCCGGGGTCCGGCGGCGGGGCTGCGCGGTGGGTGTGGGCCCGCGAGCGGCGGCTGCGGGAGGAGCCCCGCGGGCAGCGCTGCGTCGGGAGAGCTGCCTGCACCGTGCGCTCGTCGGCTGCGGGGCAGGTTGCGGAATGGAAGTGGGTTTCCTCGCTTGAGAGCCCAGGAAATCTAGGGGAAAAAGGTTCGACCGTTCTTGCGGTCGCTTAGATGCGCGCGTGGCTTCTTGCGAGAGGTTTAATTGCGTCCCTGTCGGTTTGTAGTGCTGAAGTATTCACCCGTTTTCATGAGGATGTGACGGGGGAGGAAGGGCCTGTGGTTAGCAGACAGCTACGTTGCGTTTCCGTGGTGCACGTGGCCTGCCTGGATACTTCTTCTTCAACCAAAGCCTTGGTCTTCCTGTGCTGTGAGGAAGCACGAGCAGGGCTCCTTCCACAGGGCGTTTCCAGAGCCGCACACCCTGACCACAGGCGCCGTGCCCGGCATCCCACGGCTCATCGCTCTGGCAGTTGCAGAATCACAGCATCGTAGGAGCTGGAAGGGACTTGTGCCGATCATCGAGTCCAGCCCCCCTGTTGCGTGCCAGCTGCCCTCCTGCCTCTCTGCGAGGCTGCTGAGGCACTTTAGAGTTATTATTAGAAAGTTATCATCCCTGGAGTTTTGTGTGTGCATTCGTTTGTTTGTTTTTTCTTGTGCTTAACCATAAATTGCCTTCTGTTGAAGAATCTGACTGCCTATCACACCCAGATTTCTCTCTGTATGGGGTCACAGAATCATAGGGGTTGGGAAGGGCATCTGGAGATCATCCAGTTCAACTCCCCTGCCAAAGCAAGCTCCCCAGAGTAGGTTACACAGGAAGGCATCCAGGCGGGTCTTGTATATCTCCAGAGAAGGAGGCTCTGCAGCCTCTCTGGGATACTTTCCATTCTCTGTTGTCATCAAGTAATATTGCAGTGATAATAGCGACCTAAAAATATTTGTGTCTCTCTCATAGAATAGCTTCTAACAATCAGCAGGAACAGCCTATTTACATGCTGCTTTTTCTCCATGCTGCCTTCTGCTATGGAGTTCTGCACAGTGATCAAGGGAAATACACTGAATGTGCCATAGTAGTTACCAAACAGCAGACCAAAAGCTACTTCACATCAGAGTGATGGGGTTCCAGTAGAAGAAGAAAAATCTCACTGAAGTACCTGGATCTGCCATTTCTCAGAAAACATTTTGCATGTACTCCCCATTTCAGCAACACTGAACTAGAAACAAAAGTAGTACATACTACAAAAAAGGGCTTGATTTGCAACTATATTTGCTTAAACTGCAGTGTTAGGAAGGTTGTACGTAAAGTCTTAGTAAGAGAAACTTAGGCGTGCCATCATAAAAATGAGACTAGAAAGACACATTTGCATCTGGTGATATTTGTTACTTTAAATATGCAGCTGTACTCAGGGGCGTGCTGTCAGCAAGCAGAATGCTGTTGGTAGCCTGACACACTCGTGTTTCACTGTCAGCTTTGTAAGAACAATCAGGGGATGTTGACACTCTCAAGGCCTTATGGATCCCCAGTACCAGAGACCTCTGCAAAATGCCCTTCATTGTTGTGTTCTGTGTGGACACTCACTCTTGTTTTATTCCAGTGTACATCTTATAATTATTACCACACTTCTAGACAAATTTTGTTGCGACTTGTACTGGGGAAAGCGTGTAGGCATTTTAAAGCATTTGGTACCACTGAGAGATCCCTATTGCTGTCACCAAAGTGTCACGTTGAGTAACACATGCTGTATTGGTGATAGGACCTGCTACAACACACGCACCTTAAAGCAGAAAAGGGTCTTCATTTTGCCAGATCCCTCAGTGTGGGATATACACAAATTAAACAGGGAGCGCAAGCCTTAGGTAACCTTTGGATGCACAGCTGTCCAACAGATGCTGGACAGCAGGACAGAAAGAGGCTGTGTGGTGACAGGAGTGGAAGAGTATTTAGTAATTTGGTACTGGGAGGTGATTACTCACAAAACAGTGATTGTGCTTTCTGAAGCAGACAGAGAAGCAATGGAACTGCAAGAGCAGAAGCAAAAGGCTTCTGTAGTATATGGAGCAACAGGGAAGTTCTGAAAGCAAGAAGTTAGCAATCAGCATGCAGCTTGTAGTGCCAAAAAATAAAATTGTCTGTCAAGCAGCATAGAATAAAACATTCCCAAACCCTGTAATTTAGGACAACAGAGTGCTTTTGCATAATAATGGTTGTTAAGAAAAACTTCCTTTTCAAACTCTAAACAAATCAGAATAGCATCTGCCTTCTGAAGTCGGGGTTCAAGCTGTACTTACAGTGTTCTGAGGAAATATGAAATGCTGTACAACACTCTTCTCAGATGAGCTGCGGGGTTACTAGATTAGCCCCCAGTAAGAGAATCATGCCTATTAGTGATAAAGGATACATTTGTATTTTGTTGAGCTTTAAAGAATAGAATAACTGTCTGTTTTCTTTTAAAGGAAAGAAGGACTGTCCAAGTGTGGAAGATGTAAGCAGGCCTTTTACTGCAATGTGGAATGTCAGGTACGGTAATGCAGTATGTGTGGGGGATGCTCACATCCATTTATTGTTTGTCATTGATAGCCTCTAATTTTAACTGTGGTTAATGGTAGCCCAGTCAATTTCAGCATCCCACAGATGCTGACCATGAAATCATGCATTGAACAATTACAGGATTTGGACATGGTCTGCACGAGTCTTTCAAGATCTGTAGCTCCAGGGCTTGGTACCACTGAGACTTTGATTAGAGCTGCCTGTCAGCCCACTAATTATGTCTGTATTACTTCTTTTTTAGAGCACAAACCAGATAGATTGACATTATCTCACTAAACCGTTAGGAGAGTTTGTGTCTAAGGAAAAAATTAAATCATTAAAAAACTATTTTAAGTGCTTTTCTTTCTTTTCTTTTTTTTTTTTTCTTTATATACTATTGTTCTTTTAAAGCCTCCCAAAATAGAATATAACCAAGTTACACAAAGTAGAGCAGTATGAAGGCATCCAAAACATTTGCATGCAGTTTTAGTTACAGTTTTCATCTCAATATTGGAATAGGCATCTTTAAAAAAAAACTTTAAAAAATCCCAAATCTAGTATCTAAGGTGCTTTTATTTCAAGCATGCATCTTACTCTCCTACTGGGCTAGTGGCAAACTTAAGCCTGTCCTCCTCTAGCTCTCCTTCTGTTGCTTCCACTGGCTTTCAGCTTTCCTACAACGTCTTAGAGAATTGTGGATGAATTGCATGGCTTTTGGCTTGGCAGTTGGACTCAAAATGCTTAAAAGATTTAATTTTTCAATGATGTTTTCAATAGTTGAGAGAATATTGAGACACTGATAGCAGTTGCACTGGGAAGAAATAAAATGCTGTATAAGCATCTTTAAAGCCTTTGAGAGAAGTCTGAAAGAGTTTTAATGACAGTGTTGTGAAAACCCAGGATTCATTGATGAGAAATGCTTATTTGGAAGAAGTGCTTCTACATGTCATTATTTCTTAATAAACCCTTAACTACATGAGGAAAGGAAATACCTGAACAAAGCAATTAGTTGGTTGCTTAGCACTTTTTATCTGAGATTCTGAGTTTCTAGTCTTTCTTTATGAAGTTCACAATGGTTTATATAGCTTATAACTGTCATTGCAAGGCTTACTAAAGTTGGAAATCTCCCACTTTGTGCCAGGAAAAACAGCAAGTGCTTTTAGGAAATTTAGGAAATTTATCAGCGTTGCTGAATTCTTTGACATTCTTGCAAAGTTACCTTCAGGTGTAGTATTGTCTAGAAACCAATCTCTCTGACTGTATGTGATGCACAGTCTACAATGTATCTTCAACCCTGTCTTGTTCAAAAGCACTTCTCAGCAATTCAGCAACTTTTTTTTTTTTCCTGTCAGAATAAGGTGGTTCTTGAAAGCAAAGTTACTGACATTGCATGGATTTTCTTGGAAGCATCTTTTGGGCTGCTCTGTTAAGCTGTATAGCAGCCTTGCTTTGAGGTGCTTAGAACATTTCCCAAGCATTTAATGCATGAAGTATCTGAGCATTCTCTGTGGCATTTCTGTTGTTGGAAATAGAGTGTAGGTGCAAAAATATGCACTAACTTGCTGAAGACCATACAGTTGGTGACAGGGTACATCTCCTGCCATGTGACAGGTGATTGACGTACAGGCCAAGCACTGCATGGCAGTATAATGCCTTTGCCCTAACCACCAGGGAAAGGTAGTGCTGAGGTGTGAGTGGGAGACAAAGTTTTACAGTGTTGTAGAGACTAATTTTCTTAGACCTCCATATGTTCTCACACTGGGCCTGCTACAGTGTGTAATCAGTGAATGTACAGATGTTATAATTATGGAATATACCAGAGAGTTTAGCTAAACAGATTATTATACAAAAGAGAATAGATAGAATGCTTACTCATATCCTGTGCTTGCTGCAAAACTCCAAAGGAGGGATCTCCAAAAAGAGATCCTTTCCTACTGGTAGTCAGCACTTAAATGGGGTCTAGGAGAGGTGGAGCCAGGCTCCAGCCCTTCCAGCAGCACAGGTGAATTACCTTCACCTGTGCTCCGTGGCTGACTCATTGCTTGCCTCAGATTATCAATCAGAGGTTCAGGCCATGATTCAGCAGTTCCCATACATACAGTTCCCATATGTGTCTTTTGATTTATTTGGTCTTGCTTTCCTTTCCCAGCCCCTAATCCAGTTCCCCTTTAAAAAGGGCTTGAGAGTTGCAGCTGATTTGTACCAATTCTGCTCTTTGCTGTTGGCTCCTCAAAGCACAGGCCTGTTATTATAGTAGTGGCTTTCAGACCCCATCTGCAGCTGTTCAGGTCTTGACTTCTTAAATTATAATAATTTTAGTCAAACAGCAGGAGACCTGTGCTTATCTTTTCTCCTCAGAAATTAGCTGCTGAAATGCTCTAAAGGGAAATATTTTAAGGGGGTTATGTGGGTGCAATTGTGGAACCAGTGAACTTGAACTAGCTACTAGAGCTCCTCTTCCTGTTACTACACAGAGCTATTATTTATCCCAGACAGAGTGGAGATCAGCTAGCCAAAGTGCAGAAGGAGATGTTTTTGTCAGGACTTTCCATATTTGAAATATATTTTATGCAAAATATTTAGGGGTTATTCTTGACATGTCATGCTAAAGAGTGTTGTAGTTGGTATTTCTAGAATCAGGGAAACATATTTTTAGTTGTAGATCTGGAGTTAGCATCAAGCAGATGTGTTTCAAGTGGGACCTTGCAGAAATTGTCCAATCTTCCTTGCTTCTAAGTGGTAGAAGAAATAGGAAATTCTTGCTGTAACAGTTTTGTGCAAGAAGAATCTGGTGCTACAAGACCCTGTTTAAGCCTGCCTTTGGAAGAGTCTGTTCCCCTGCTGAAAAACTTTCTGTGTTATCTCTTTGAGAAATGTCTCTTGTCAGCATTTGAATGTTATCTCATGGAAGTCCAATACCCTCTCTGGCTCAGCGGTCAGTAAACTATAGTAGTGAAGGATGTGTGAAGTTCTTGCTTTTGCTGCTTGATGAAGGGCTGTGTCTGAGAACTTTACTGGATAATGCCAGGCATCAGAAGATGCTTCACTGGAGTTCAGTTAGAGACTTGAGTAATATTTGAGCATAATTGGGACAGAAAAAGTGGGCTTTTCCCTTTTGATGGTTTGTCAAACATTTCTGTCTACTGTTTGTGTTTTGTTTTGACCAAGTGAAATATAACAAGGTTTACATCTTGCAGAGAAATCCTGAGTTTGAAAGAAAGGAAGTTTGGACGTGGTTAGTGGGCATGGTGGTGGTGGAGTTGTGGTTGGAGTTGATGATCTTAGCGGTCTTTTCCAACATTAATGATTCTATGATTCCAAATGCCAGGATGCTTTTCTGGGTTTGAGTCTTATTCTGGGTATGAGGTGTATTTATTTTTTTTAATGCTGAGCTATATGTCAGTGTCCTGGACAGTGAAACCACTTTGAAGGACTTGATGGAGAAGACCATTTCCATGCTTTGATGTGAAAAGAACGAGCTTTAAAGAACTTCCGTTCCAAAAATGTTGTCGCGCACTCCTAAATGAAGGGAAAAGTACTGTGAATGTAAGGAAAATAGGAAGAAAATATTATTAATGTAACATCAGGGATTCAGCTAGAACAATGCTACCTGTTATAATTCAAACTGCTTAGAAAAAAAGCATGGAGAAGAATGCAAAATACAGTCCTGCTGAGATCGCAGGGGAAACTGCTGTCCCAGTGTTTCCATCCCAGATATTACTCAGTCATCAGTGCTCTCTCTTCTTGTAGTATTCCAGGCTTTTATCTCATTTCACACTATTCAGCCATATCTTGTCCCTTTAACCTCCCTACTAGTTCATATAACCCAGTATGATTCTGCCTGGGGAAAGATTTTAATTAGCAGTGTGTAAAGAATAAAGAGAACAAACGGATTTTTAAAAACACTGCTTTGAGACATGCATGTGATTTTGCATTTGATTTTTGTTTTATCAGGTATTCTCTTGTTTATTTACCCAGCGTGTATGAATGCTGCCATACAAAACTCTAGGCTTTGTTTCTTTGCTTCCTGCACCCCAGAAACAAGTCTGAAGCATGAGTATGCAAGAAAAGAAGGGGTGTGAGATAAGGTCCCAACTTTGTACATCTTTGTAGTATTAGTCTTTGTTTAGGAATCCACTGGGAATCAGGAATTTTCCAGAGAGAGGTCTTGGGGCACACATAGGAAGTAAGCCTCTAGGGGGGATGCACTTCATAGTGTGACAGCTGTAGGAGAGTTGAGAGTGTAATTTCACATGACATGATTAGGGTGTAATATCCTATTTTAGTTTGCCTGGTCTGTATGGCCATGTCCTCTTAGAGCAGCCACACTTGAGCTTATTTCAGGGAGCCTGCATGCTCTTATTGGTTTGTTTCTTTTTTTGAGGTGGGGAACATATTGAGGTATGAAGGACATTGAAGCTGACCTTGTGAGGGGTTGAATCCTCTTGCAGTGTCGTATGGTTTGAAGTTCTACGTGAGGCTAGGGCAGGCATTCACCTTCTTGTCCTAATACAATGAATTCTGAAAGCTCCACACATTCAGGGCAATTAAATTACACATTTCAGTGGAAGAATGTTTTGGTGGACCAGCTCTGGAATTAGAGGTATCAGCTTTTGTTTTGATCTACATAACCTTCATGTAAGTGGGACAGCCAAGGCAGGATACACTGCTCTGCACTTTTTGGGTTATCGTAAGTGGCTTCTGGCTATTACTTCCCCTAATAAATTAATCTTCCTGTAGTTCTCCTGCTCGCACGTGAGTGTTTTAGATAACCTAGGATGCCTCAAATATCTTAATATCTGTGTTTTGGAGTGAAATCCAGTCTTTCTTCTGCTTCTGCCACTCAGCCTCTCTGATGGGCTATTGATTTTTTTTTTATTTTTATTTTTTCTGAATGACTAAGTGGGCTAACACAATGTCTCTGACACTGTGCAGGTCACAGTGAAGGGAGATTACAAGTTTACTGGAGACTGCAAGAAGCTTTTAAAGTTTTCACTTTTAGTCAAGTATATGTTTGTTGTGGTTTCTTTCTTCAGCTGCTGTTTTCCACTAGTTTAAATCTGGTCTAAAAACAAAAATGGGTGCTCTCTATGTAGGCAGAGGACTACAGGGCTGTTCTAACACACTATACATGTGTCTGGGAGGAGATATGTAAATAAATAATTGTGCATTGCATGAATATAGAAGAATATTTCCACACCTGATGAAAGAAATGAAGTGTGGTGTAGTTTGGGAACAGCCCATGCCATGTTCTTTATGCCATTGCACTGCGTTAATCTGATTCTGTGCTAATCTTTGAAAGTTTCTGTTGGTTTGAAGGAGCCTGTAGACTGCAAAAAGCCAGTAGCTTGTGCCATCCCTCCCTGGTTTCATTGTATGTCCCCCAGGAGTATGCTGTATGTTCTACACTAAGATGTATTTGCCTTTATTAGTGTGTTTTTGTTGCCTAGTCTTATCCCACAAAACATTTAAGGAAAAAATCTGATGATTCTCTTCAGCAAGCCTGGTTCTGACCTTACATATATTCTTGGTGATTGTGAATCCATTGACTTCAGACATTACTCCTGATTACACCAGGGTCATGTCATAATGAGGGGCCAAGGTATTAAATGGAAATGAACCCAATAAAGCCATCAAGCTTAGACCTACTCTGTCCTCACGTGCTTCATCTGAACAATAAGAACTGGTGGTTTATAAATCATGTTGTCTGTTTGCTTCTTCACCATTTAGTTCTTTTTTTTCCCACTGAATAAATGAAGATGTTCTGACCTTAACTTATCCCTTGTGAATTTGTTTTAAAAAAGCAGGATAGCTGCAGCCCTCCAATGTGACTCAAGCTTTTGTTCAGAATTAGTGAGAGTCATCTTATTTTTTTAAAGGAAACACATTTCACTTGACCTCCAGGATCTGCCTGGACTTGTTGTATCCTCATTTTCATCAGTTTGTCTTCACGGCTAATTTTTAAAAATATTTTTCTACACTTGCAGAAGGAAGACTGGCCAATGCATAAGCTGGAATGTTCCGCCATGTGTGCTTTTGGGCAGAACTGGAATCCCTCGGAGACGGTGAGGCTAACAGCGAGGATCCTTGCCAAACAGGTGAGCAGAAAACTGGACTTGGGAGGTATGTTCCTACTCTGTGTGCCAGGGAGGACAGGAAAGCGAAAATTGACCTACAGTAACTGTCCCAGCAAAGCACAGGCAATCTGGCTTCCTGTGAACAGATGGGTGTAATACAGTGCATGAATAGCTGAATGAATGGATCATCAAACCTCTGTAGTAGTGTCAGCACCATCGTGGTAGTCTAGCTGAAGACTTAGGGGAAGACAGTAAAATTATAGTGAGTCTTTAAGCAGCTGTATCTTGTGGCTCAGATAGTGTTGAATGGAGTCTGGAGAAGTTTACCAATAAGACTGAAAATGTACACAGTGTTTCAGAGTCTGTTCTGGTAGATTTGAACTCGTCGTCACATATGTGGGCTAGCACCATGCCTATGCTATTGTTCGAGAAAAAAGAATGAGACCTGATATGTATGGTTAAATTCTGAGGAATGCTTATAGTGTCATCTGCCTGCAGGCACTGACATCTTCATGAAGCAGTTACCTGCTGTACTGTTTTTCAGCTATAACTGTGTAGCACTGCCCAGTGCATTTGTGAGTCAAGAACACCTCTCGGGTACTCACATATTGATGTTTACGATTACTGGAGTTAGCTGGTGATAAACAGAGATTGAAAGAACCTTGATCTTTGGTGAAAAGGAATGTCAGTAGTAAGGATGTAAGACTGCAACGTCAACCACGTTTCAGTGTTCCTTACCATATGGAAACTGAGGACAACGCACGTGCTAACAGAGACAGGAAAGGTTATTACACTGTGTTTCTTTCAGAGCTCTAAACTCTGCAAAAACAAATCCTCTTTGAAGCATATTTGTGTGATTGAGGTTTGCTTATGTGGCAAGGGCAACCTGGATACCGTATGGAGCGAGGATTTTGGTGGCCCGCTGGGAAGGTAGCTGCTGTAGTTGCTGTGTGTGTGAATGTATGTGTGTGTGACTTAATTAAAGTACGGTTTGGTGCTGATCCACAAACAAAATCGGATGTTTAATGACAAAAAGTCATTGGAATAAATTTGTGCTTTTATTGCTTACGAGGAGGGGGGAGAACCCTCCATGTCATATAAAAGCTAAATATGCAAACCATGGTCCCTGAACCTCAGCTGCTGGGCCACCTGCAAAGCCATATTTAATGGCCAAGATTACAAAGAAGTGGCCTTAGGCCAACAATGGAGCATTGCTTTTGAACTCTGTCAACAGTCAGTTTATTCACTTTCCTCAAAGCAAAGCCTGTCTCCTGCCTGCTTGCTATTGTTAGCAGCTTTCTGAGTGTCTAGAACAAAGCAAATGACATATTTAAAATACCGTTCAGTTTATGTATATAAATTTGATAAAAGTTAATCTTTGGCTGCCTAATTTGGTGCAAAGAAAATATTTCTGTGGTTTAACTAAGCACAGTCAATTTAACTCATTGCTGTTTGACTTTTATAAAAATTTCATATGCATGGATTTGTTTGATTTACAGGTGAGAGTCCCCAGCTTATAACAGCATAGACAAAACAGCCTACTTAGAAACGCTAAAATATTTTCTTCTTGTTGCTTTTTTCCCCCTTATTGCTAGAAAATTCACCCTGAAAGAACACAGTCAGAGAAGCTGCTTGCTGTGAAAGAATTTGAATCGCGTAAGTAAAGAACAGGGCAGTTGTTTGTGTTTGCTTTACGCCTTGCTCCCCTCCATCAACATTTTTTGGAGCATCTGGCTTTTTGTTTTTTTTCTTTTTGAAGAAGGAATAAACAGAGAGAACCATGGTTCCTAGCATTTTGAAAGTCTAGTGCTATTATTTCTTCTTTCTTTTTTTTTTTTTTTTTTCCTTCTCTTTTTTCTGGTTGCTTGTAGGGTTGTGAAACAAGGGTGAAAACCTAGACAGAATTAATGATGTAGCATACATCCATCTCATGTCTTTTCTGGTACTCTACTGTCTTTTGAGAATTGTAATGTTGTAAAATTAAAATAGCTGGTATTTGTTACCAGAAGGCATAAAATCAGAGACAGCACAGTTGCTTGATGGTGACAGTGACTAAGGGGCTAATTGCAGAACCCTCTGGACTGTGCTTCACTATCTGTCACTGCCAGTCAAATCTGACATGTTATATGTGATTGTGTTGAAATTCCATGTCCTAAATGCTCCAAAATAATCTGAGGAAGGATATGAGGCAATGGCTTGCGTTTAACTGCAAGGCTACTTTTTACATCCTGTGAGGCAGAGTTAGAAATTGAGCAACTAGGGGACTAATATCTGTCCTGGCATTTCCACTGGTCTGTCATTTCTCTTTCTTGGTGCTAGAGGCAATATACAAGGAGACAATAGGTTTATATATTCACATTTCTCACTGATAGTTTCCAAAGCCCTTTATAAAATGCTGAATAAATGCAGCCACTGCTAGAAGTTGAGGTAGCAAGGTAACCAAAACCGGCAGAATTAGGATTTAATTTACTTCCTGGATGAAAGCTATCACAGCTCTTTGGACAATTAGGGAAGTAAAGGGGAAAAATGCCAACGTTTGACCTTTTGTAAGGCAAGGCTAATTTTTGCAGGTAGGTTATAAGTTTGAGGTCAAGGAAGACGGATAAGTGCTGGAATAATTTCTGTACATTCTTCCATTTGCAATATGTGTTCAATAATGTATTAATTTGGGAGCTGAAAGGCAGATGCTTTTTTTTTTTTTTCCAGTTGCAATGTCTCCCTGGTCCTCTAGGAGCCCTTGTTTTGTTTCTTTTATGGTAGTAAGATTCCCTCTTACTATTTCTGTCTTGTTGATTCTCCTCTTACCACACCTTCATCATTCTCAGCAGTAGCCTTGCTCTTTGTAACAACTTACACAGAGAGAGGAAAAGGCACCTGATTTTTAGCTCAAAGTTGAAAATCTATTTCTGGCTTGTCCTAATTATCATCAAATTATTGCATTTCATTTCTCCCAATATTTTTGTGACTCTCCTGTCATTCACATTGCTCTGACAAATGCTTCTTCCATTGTTGTGCAACCTTTTTCAGAATGTTTTTCTCTATTGTTATTTTGTAGAGGGGAAACCGATGAGTTACTGTCTCTCTCTTAGAACAGGAAAGAGCAGATGGCATTGCTGCAGTGAGAAAGAGAATTAGGAAAAACTTTGCAGAATTCTGCTCCTGAGACTGAAAGGGCCTAAAGGAGGGAAAGAACCAAGAGTATAGTGTCAGTGATCTGGCTCAGTTTGCGTGGATCAGGCACCTAAAAGTCCTATGGGCCACAGCTCCGGCTACAACTTGTCAGGGGCCTGAGGGTACATCTCTGAGCAAACCCTGAGAGGAGTACAGTTGGCAGGTGAGGCCAGGACACTTCACCTGATGTTCCTGCCATCTCCTGTTATCCTCATGTACCAGCAGATGAAATGCACCTCTGTGAATTGCCCTGTAGCTCCCAGAGATGTGGGTGTTCCTAGGTGCTGCTGCATGCCAAAGCAGGTCCCTGCAGTAGGTCAAAGTGTGTTGCCTTCCCAGGCACCCTTGTATTATGCTTCTCTAACTGCAAAGGGAGCCCTGGTGACTAGCCCCAGTGTTAACATCAGACTTTGTGAAGTCACTGTCACACATGGCTGCAAGTAGTTAGGGTTCTGCTAGGAAAGACCATGTATTTTGAGAGCAAAAATAAGTAGCATTCCTTATCCAACCAGTTCATATTGATGAAGATTAGGTCTGTATGAGGGACTTACACTCTGTAAAGCATATTTTAGGAAATGTGTTATCTAAAAGGATTTTGTACTACAGTAGACAGAACCAGGTAGCTCATAAGGTCATCTTAAACAGCTGAGGACAGTTAGCTACAGTAGATACACTTCTAGAGAGATGGCTTGTCTGCTTGCTAGGGCTAACAAATGCCTAATAACAGTGCAACCCTTTTCCCAATAATTTTTTGTCCATTTACCACTCGATATGAAGATGTTTAGAAAGTGATTTTTAATCCTGCATGTTCTTGTAGTAAAAGTGTGGCCTTGGCAGAAGAAATATTGTGGAGAACAGATGCTTCTTGTGCTACTTCCAAGTGGCTGTTCTGTGAGTGGTTTCTGTTTAAGTCCAGGCTTGTTTAACTTAAGCCTAACTGAAGTTCACTGGGGAGTGTTCCTCTTACTGAAATGGAATGTATTCTTTGTCCACAGACCTTGACAAACTAGACAATGAAAAGAGAGAGCTGATTCAGAACGACATTGCTGCTCTTCATCACTTTTATTCAAAGCACATGGAGTACCCTGACAATGCTGCTCTTGTAGTTCTCTTTGCACAAGTAAGTTGGCTAGAATGTAGTCTGCTTAGGTGGATGGTACTGTAGGAGGAGTTCAGCCTTTGTAAAAGGGACAAAATCTTAGTGGTAATGGAAGTGATAGCTCTTTGCTTATCGTGGGTAGAGCTGAGTATGCTTGATGGCAAAGATGCACTTCCTTGGCCAGAAGTGGCTGGACACGATCCATTTCAGTAGTGAGGGAGAGATTCTTCAGATTTTTTGTGAAGTGCTTCTCAAACACTGAAGAAAATGGGAAACAGCTTATAATAGTCCCTGTCCAAGTTAGGCCTTGGGCCAAGCATAGTGCAGCTGTTGGTGGACATACAAAGAAAGCTACTTGCCTTCAAAGGATCTCAACAGCAGAGAATAGGAAAGAGCAGCCTGATATTTTATCTGACCTATGCCTTTTAAATGCAATCAATTAGTTTAGTCATCTGGAGAGATGAAGGCAAGGCAGGATCTCCTGTTAGAAAAGTTCTAACTATGTCACCTCTCTTCTCTCACCTGGTTTTCATACACATCAAATGTGTTGTCATGGGTGAAAAAATGCAGAAATGGAATGCTGAAAGAACCCTTATCTTTTTTTTTTCTTCTTTTTCTCCTGTACTTCAAAATAAGCTAGTTTTAAACTTCTGAGTAAAAAGTTTAATTTTGAGCTATGAATAAATGTTGACTGCTGCATTGAAAGCTGAAATGGTGCCACCCTCTTCATACAGCCAGTTGTGTATCAGGAAGGAGATAAAGTTGTGTATCTGAGTAAGGAGACACTGTTACTATTGCCTTAATACAGGCACTGTTACATTGTAGAGGAATGCTCAGCGTGTGTGGCATCTGTTTTTCATTCAGTTGTTCCAAACTTTACATTTCTGTTCAGTAAAAAGTTTTTCTATTTTAAAGACTTGACAATTTATGTTTGTTGGAGGGATACTTTAAAGAAATCTGTGCATCCAGTTTCTTGGATTGTTTCTGTATAGTTTTACTGGAATGTAGCTAGAATCCCCCAAAGATTAAGTTATTTTGTATAAAGTAAGTTATTCTTCATGTCCTTTCCTGGATACTTCAGGTGACTACTGTGAACTGCTGACTCCTAGAATTGGTATTCTATCCAATCTCCCCTCTGGGTGCCTAATATCACCTGTAGGTGTCAAATGAGTTCATCTTAATTGTAAGACAATTATCTCCAACTGTAGACACTGATATTTTTTTAACTGAAATCTCCAAAGATCATCTGGAAGTTCCAGAAGGGTGTTTAACAGGATACAACTTTTTGAGGTTTTGGCTCCATTATGCATCATTCTGGAAAAATCAGAGGTCGGTCTGTACTTGATATATACAAATATATTTTCTAACGATTAGTTAACCTGAGCTAAAAGCAGCAGTTTGGATATGGTGCTGTCCCCTTGTTTTGCTTCAGGAGTTTCTCTGGCTTTGCGTTTTTACTTTGCTTCTCCATTCATTCTTTCTCCCTGTAGCTCAGGGCAGCGTTTGGCACTACTCTGACTCCTTGCTTTCTGGAGCTTGGTCTGGTGTTGCTCCTTACCAACTCAGATAAGGCATAATTATCTTTCAGAGTGGAACCAAGAGTTTTGTTCAAAGCATCTTAGTCCTTCAACGCTCTCTTCCCCAGCTGCTGGTGTTGTTCTACTCTCTTTTGTCCCTCTGGAGCATAACTCTTGAGACTATCACTCTACCTGCTTAGTCTCATCTCATTGTACTCTTCGGTTTCTCTCTTCTTTCAAGTTCTAGTGTCGCATCCTTTCCTGTGCCTTACTTTGCACCTTCTCTGTTCCACCATTGGGAACAACTTTGGTGTCTCCTTTTCTTGCTCAAGTCTCTTTACTCGCTCCATGTTTCCTTTTTTAGTCATGCATTCCTCTGGAGAAAACAGTGCTATCTCATCCCTCCTATTTGCTCCTCGTGTGTCATTTGTGGTATGATGCATTCAAGAAGTGGGTTGTCTCTGGCGTGGTGCAGGGGAATTGATGATAACTCACTACATATTTTTAAATATTTTCCTATGATTCAGATCCATCAAGCTGTTCTCTATGTCAGCCTTTGTAGCCTTATGTTCTTACTTGCTGTTGATATAATCTTTCTCTTCTATTGCTTTTGTATTCAGCAATTACATTTTGGTTTTGGTTCAGGTATGCTCATATGTTGGCTATTGCTCATCAGGGAGCCTTTGGATGCTAACTTGCTAAAACAGAGAAATAAAGAACAAATAAATTTACCAAAAATACTGGTAAGTGAATCAGAGATGCAAGACACTTAGCTGTGAACTCATCCTGAACAATTCATAACTGAGGGGTGGCTTTGGAAACCATTTGTGCATTTCTAAAATCCAGTCCAAGCTGCATTCCAACCTGTGGGCATTACAGTTAGTAGTGTTTGTTGTCACCTCCTGCCCTTCCAGGACACGTACTTACACTGTACTTGATTGAATGATCTTGTGCCCATTATAGCTTCAGCTGGACTTCATTATGTGACAGTAGTTCTTTTAGTGTTTTTCTGGCGCTTCTGGCGTGAGGATTTTAAGGATTTTAGGGGGAGAGGCTAGAGAGTATGGCTAGGCTTCTCTGGGCTGGCATGTATGTGACTTGTAGTAAAAATGGAATAAGGTATTCGTTTGAGGTACAGCTAGGTCACTTAAGTCAGACAGAGTTGAAAGTCTGGAAACATTCCTTTGAGCTTAGTGAGAACAAAACAGGGGAAGGTTTTAAAACCTGTTTGAACCTATAAGAAATAATGTGAATAAGCTTTTTCTTCTCTGATTAAATTACTATTATGCTTTCTCAAGCATTCTGTTCTTTTTCTGTCCTCTTCTATGCCTATATGAGGTTCCAGCCTGTCTCTATCCCTATGTTCTTCATATCTGCTTCAGCTGTAGCTCATACGTGCAGCCTTTGACCAGATGACATCCTCGTTGTGCCAGATCTCAGTAATACATGCTCCTTCAAAGCTCTGCAGTGCCCCAGCCTGGCTGAGTTTGCTGCTGCTCATTCCTGCATTGTTCCTTGCATGCATAGTTCTACTTCAGCCCATTGTTGGCAGTGGCCAATTGAGATCTCCTTGCCCTGTCATTATTACACATGATGTTTGCAGTGGTCTGCTTTGTTGGACACTCTTTGTGGTGCTTTTTTCAAGCCTCGTTTCTCTTGATTGGCATTTTGAGGTGCAATCCCTTAGGTGTTGTGTCCTGAGCAGACACAAGTATTGGAATGACAGTTCTTTGTAGTCCTGCACTTTTCCTTTGGATATGGATTTTGTCCTCACTTCACTTTTTGAGATGTCATGTAGTTTCTCCATGAATACTGCTGAGATGTAAAGAAAACTGTAAGCAAATGGCAGCTGTTAACTTTTAAGAATGAGAATGTGATATAAGTTGACCAGAATGTGAGTTAATCTCTTTCTCTTTTTTCTTAGGTTAACTGCAATGGTTTCACGATTGAAGATGAAGAACTCTCTCATTTGGGATCAGCCATATTTCCTGAGTAGGTTAAGTTTAATATTAAAAAAAAAATAAAAACAACTTATTTAAAAACAAACAAAGGTTCTTACGCATGTTTAGAAGTAGGCCTGTATTGAAAGAAATTAAATCATAGAGTTAGTATTAATTTGTCGTGTTTAAAATATGTTAACTAATACAATCTGCCAGTGATTTGCAGCAGTTCTCTTATAAATCTAGTAAACTTGGTAAAATTGTACTTGGAATCTGTTTTGAAGTCCTGTAGTTCTGTCTGTGAACTATACAAAGGTTGGTAGGAGACAGACTTACTTGGCTAGCAGGTTCTGGACAGGGACATCAAGTAATGATCAAAGCTAAATGAAAAGGATTTGTAAGTGACTTGCTTTATCCACAGGTTTCTGCATTGCCTGGATATAATGCTTCACCTGATGTTAGCAAAAAAATATCCCTTCTACCTTTGTTCCTTTGCAAACCATAAATCTCTTTCATAACTTCTTTCAGCCTCCTCAGATGTTTTATAAACTGCCATGCTTTATGTTGCTTTAGCAGTGGGAAAAAATATGTACAACCTCCTCAGCTTTACAAACAAACTGCAGATGTTAGTCATTAACTGCAGTTTGTGGACTGGGAGGTACAGCTCTCTGTGAGGCTGTGTAAATTTTTTCCCTTTAAGTCTGTACTTCCCATTCTGTCTCTGTTCTTTGCAAACTCCACACTGCAAGTGCTATCAGCTCTACTCATATCAACTTCCCTGTGAGGTGTGGATTAGTAGTAATTATGTCAAAGCAATTTCAAATGTCCTGGTGCCCCGTTAGAGAAGGGTTTGATTTGCTGTATACAGGTCCATGCTTCAGGAGGGCTAGACTGTTTATTTCTTATCCCTGGAGGCCATGAAATCTTGGCCAGGAACAGAGTCATGGTGGGAAGAGAAGAATATGAAACCAGGATTATTTGGAATCAAGTGCAACACCATTCTTTTTTTGTAAATGCTCAGCATCTGAGCCACTAAGAAAAGACATGATTATTATTTCAATAGCTCTGAAGAGAAAGAATTAAAATTAAACATTTTATCTTAAATAAGCAGCAAATTGCACTTCCTAGCTTGGTAAGAGAGGAAAGTATTTTTCAGTAGCAGTCTTGAGCTTTTTTGTGTAACTTGTGTGCTGGTATATCAAACAGAGATCTCCTTCTTCCCACTTTAATCATGGAAGCTGTTTATGTTTGCACAGAAGTGAGATAAAATTTTAACATTGATCTTAAATGTGTCTAGCAACTGTATTTTCTTGTTTCCTTGTAGCTAAGTGGGTTTCTTTTTCTTTCTTTTCAGAGGAAAATGGTCTGTTTTTTACAGATAGCTAAATAGGTTGTTGGTAGTTAAGGTGTGCAAATACCCCCTCAGCTGTACCGTTGCACGTAAGAATAGGAAAATAATAACTTGCCTAGTCTGGCTGTAATAAGTTTTTAAAATTGCAGTGATTAGTTAAAATGGCCATTTTCTATATTGATAGGATAAATAACAACACAACAGATTTTCCCCAGGTTACCTTCATATTAAGCCTCACTAAGAACAGCTTGTAGAGGAAGACTGACTCACTCTTTTCAGGCTTGTTTGTTTTATGAAGCGTTGCTTAACTTTTTGCCTGTTGCTTTTGGTGGAGAGGAAAAAATGTTCACTTTTCTGCTTTTACAGTGTTGCACTGATGAACCATAGCTGTTGCCCAAATGTGATCGTAACTTACAAAGGGACACTGGCAGAAGTCAGAGCTGTGAAAGAGATTGAGCCTGGAGAAGAGGTAGGGGTACTGTTTGAATGTATCCCACTTTCAGTCTTTGTTCCAATTAGATGACAGTTTAATAATAAGGGGGGAAGGATCTCTTGTTTCTCAGAGAAGCCTGAGATGTAGTTTTAGGGTGATGCAGGAGGACTGAAGTGATTCTAGGAGGCAGTATCCTATTTTGTGTTAAAACAAGGGATGGGCACCTGCATCAGTCACTGCACGTCTGCTGGCCTCCATCTCAGTTTATCCATCTGTAAAAGGAGGCTTAGTTTGCTGATGTTTGGCTGGTGCTTTGAAATTCCAAGATCAAAGAAAATTATTACTGCTGTAATAGTTCCCAGTATAACAGTAATGGAAGTGAAGCCAGAATAAACAAGGTAAATGGGAACAGATAAGTTCTCTAACTTCTGTTTCAGTCCCATGTATTGTGGATGCTCTATCCAGTCATATCACTCAGCTGAGTTTAACTGTGTAATCACAAAAGAACTAGAATATGTTTTTAGTTGGAGCAAAGCCAAACAGTGATGGATAAACTAAGGCCCTGGTAAACTTTCTCAGTCAAGTAATGAACTTGGCAGCAAATCTTCAGCTGCAGAGCTTATTTTTACTTTAATAAAATTAATATTATTTTTTTAATTTTAAAATTAAGAACATGTAAATTAGGCAGACTTGGGAAAATTGTTCATGTATCTACATGGGATGAAAATACTCTGGAGATGGAGTTTGCGTGGAGGTTCATTGTGGGTCATTTGCTAATGTTAATTTAGTCTTCAAGGTTAATGGTTATCAAAACAAGTTCAGATTTGATTTTGACAACTCCAGCTGATTTCTGAAGTATGTAATACTAATTTTGGAGAAGGAGATAGGGATGGTTTTCCTGGATTGCAGCTGTTCACCATTATGAACTGAGTGACTTCAGTTGCTGGGACAGGGGTAATGCAGGTGAGCAACTTCTCAGTGTGCTGTTAATTATGATCTCACTGTGGTGTTGGCAGTCACTACAGATGCACTGTGGTAATGGACAGAATAATCTGTTTTAGAATTTTCCCATGGAGTCTCAGGCATTTGGGGGAAGCAATGAGAGGGGAAAGTAAGGAGCATTCTACCTTGCTAACATCTTCTTTTGGTTAAACTGTGTTTTTGAAGCTGCATTGGTTCTATAGGATCTCACTGCTTTTGTGCAGTCTCTCTTCTGACATTTGAGAATTTTATAGAAGTGGACCAGTGATTTTGTTTGGTCCCAGCACATTCTTATGGCCTGTGTCTCCACCTTCAGATTCAATATAGGCATTGCATCAGAAATTTAAGTGGTTGCTGTAAATGCTATTCCTGTGTTTTGCATGCTTGGAAGGGAGGAGAGGAGTGTGGGAGAAGCTGTGAGATCACAGAGGAAGATTGGGAGCGTTTGTAACATCAAATTACACATGCATTTCACTTTGAAATAACTGAAAATGAAGAAATGAAACTAAAAGTCTTTCTTGGTCTGCAAAGTTATCATCTGCACTGCCTATGGCTTACTTCTTGAGGGAGACGTCCTTTAAAAAACAACACGAAAGCTAGTAGAAGGGTTTCTTATCTGGTGACCACTGAAATAAAGGAAAACCTTAGAACAGTGCATGTGAAAGGCTTTTAAAATGATCAAAAGTAGGTTTTCTTTAGGTGTTGCCACTGAAGTAAATTTGATGTTCATCCCCCTAGAACTGGAGCACTGGGCCTTCTTTTCAGAGATCTGAAGGTCTTCTCCTGAGTTTCTAAAGCTACCAGTGGCTGCTTTGCCCCAATTTTACTCAGTTTTCAGAAGGAAAAATTTGAGACTCCAGCCTCCAAAAACCAGGCCACTGTGATTTATTCCAGGCTGGATACCTGAAGTCATTATTTTACTTCTGAAAAGTCGGCATCTCTTTGTAGTCTTGACAGGAGCCTGATATTTATGGTGTTTTAGTTTCCTTATCCACACCTGAATCTTCCTCTCCTGGATCTAAGCCAGTGTAATATGTGAGGGAAATTCCATACTGAATAGGAAAGGAAACACTTCTTTGTCAGATTGTGTTCGCAAATGACAACTCCCGATGCTTCTGAGAGGTTTGGAATGTGAGGGGAGAGGCAGTTGATATGGCTGCAGGGATTCACAAATTGGATCAGTCATACTAAATATGATTTCCACAGAACTGGTAGCAATAAATATGTGTATTTGTACTGCTTTTCATTGACTATTCTGTTTTTATTGCCTAGGTTTTTACCAGCTATATTGACCTGTTGTATCCCACAGAAGACAGAAATGACAGGTTAAGAGACTCCTATTTCTTCACTTGTGATTGCAGGGAGTGCACTATGAAGGAAAAGGTAATAATGGGATTAAATTGGCATGAAATGATTCTGACTGTCAGGGCATTTATCCTAGGTGTGATATTTTATCTGATTTAATTAAATATTGGAAAGTAGGGTAATAGAGAGAGGGCTTGTTTTTTGTTTTTCTGTCTATAAGACTTTCTTATACTCATTCTTTCCTGACGTTTCAATTATGACACATCACAAAATTTCCAGGTGGATGCTCATTTAAAGTTGAGCTACAAAGTGAAGACAAAAACTCTGTTAGAAGTAGGTAATTATGCCGTGTCTCCCTGGCCAACAGAATTTAGATAAGAACTGAGTTTTGTGACTGCGTGTTTTCTGACTCAGTGAGCCTTGGTTGGAGCATTTTTGGGGTCCTGTTCTGGCATAGAGTTCTGTGTAGTCCCTGGTTTGGACATCTCTGTCAATTCTACATGTATGATTTTGCTGGACCCAGCAGAATTTGTGAAATGGGATTTCCTGCAAACAGCATCATATCATTCTTATAGAATCACAAGGTTGGAAACGACCTATAAGATCATCTAGTCCAACTATAAGATCATTTTGTCCAAGTCACTGACAGGACAGTGTTGGGTCACAGGTCAGATTTACCTTCATTAGATATCACTGGGTGCCTTTAAAAGGACAAAGGCAAATGTGCAGACAGCGTTCCTTAAAACAGGGTGTTAGTTACTTTGAACAAAAGCATTTGTCATGGGAGGGAAAGGCAGCTGAACTCAGCAGACACCAACAACAGCTGTTCCTGTTCTGCCAATTGGTTGATTGTCCTTCAGTGGAGGTCCTAGGAGAACTAAGCTTCTTGCAGCAATTCTGTCATTCTAGTCAAGATAGATCTGACTGACATAATTCATGATCCTTAAGTTCTAGATCATTTCCTCTCTGCATTTTCACAGAAGTGTCCATTTAAGAGCTGCTACCCAAAGTGACCAGACAGCCATCTCCTTTCCTCTACATAGTGTATTTTATAATTTTTTTCCAAATACTACTTGGTATTCTCATTTGAGGCCATTTTGTTGACTGAAGTTGTGTTTTATCCCACAGTTACCGCAATCATTTTGCCACTGAATTAATAGTAGCTAGGATTTCATTGTGATTTCTAGTAACTTGCTGCTCATGGAATCACCTGTCACTCTGCCTCCTTCACTGCTGGGAAGATTTCTCTATAGCCCTCTTAGCTGACAGTTGATATCATGAAGGTTAAAAGAAATCTCCAACAGTGTGAGGTTTAAACAGTAAAAGATTATCTCCAGATTGCAGCTGACTCTTCATGAAGTAGTAAATTAGATAGAAAGATGAGAATAAATGGAGCTGTCCAGCAAAAAGCTGTTGTGTTGTCCACACAACAAAATGTGTGGAAATACATTTTTGTTTGTAATTGTGAAGGCTACTTTTCTCATTTAATATCATGCCATTTTCCACTGAGCTATCACATGGTGGAAGGCCTAAGATATTTGGGCTTTTCTAGCCTTAAAGCTAAATATATTTTAATCCCTAATCTCTCAAAAGCAGTAAAATTTTCTATGTAAAGCTGCTTTCATCACAAAATCGAAAAGCTCTTGGATCTTTTGAAAGAAGGGACCTCGTGTAAGTAGAGGATGGCAGATGAACTGAGAGGCAGAGGATTCTAGGATTCCCAACCACAGTTTTAGAAAAAATTGCAGGTGCAACATTCTACCCTTGTTTCTACATTCTTCGACAAGCTTAAGTCTCCATTAGTGTCTTTTTTATTAATTTTGTGCAGCAGATGCACCTTTTTTTTGTAGGGCTTGGAACCTGCATTCATGACATCCGTTGTGTTTCCTTCAGGATAAAGAGAAACTGAAAATCCGCAAGCTGAATGATCCTCCATCAGCAGAGGCGGTACGAGACATGATCAAATATGCCAGGAACGTGATAGAGGAATTCAGACGAGCCAAACACTACAAATATATCCTTTGTCTCAGCTTGTCTCCACTGGCTTGGTCTGCGACCTAAAGCTTACTTGCTGACTTGCTTCAGAAGTACCTGGAGGAGAAGTACTATGACCTCTAGAAGTTAAACATACCTCTGTCCTTGTTATGGCTGGAGAGTTCTGCCTGGAGACAAGAGGCAGTTTGCAAGTGTGGGGTTGTGGGACCCTGTATTTGTTGGTTCCTGTGCAATTGTCAGTTTCTAATAGCACGCCTTACGCTGTCTGCACAGAACAAGCCAGAGCCTGGAATGAGCACAACGTTGTGTTTTTTAGCATGCAGTAATGTTTCCTGGTTTTGAGGGACTGCATGTGAGGCTGCAGCTATTGCTTGTGGTCACGAGCCTACCTGTCCTGACTGGTGTGATGGGACAAAAATGAAAGATGCACTGGGCCAGAAGCAGACCTGATTGAGTAACCACTGCACAGGGAATCTCATTGCTCCTTAATCTGACAGATCACTGGAGCAGCAGTGGCTCAGGAAAGTAGATTTCTTTGTTGCTTTTTTAAATATGAAGGTTACGTTTGTAGAAAATCTGAGTAGGAGGGGGAATAATCTCATGAGCAGTGCCTCTGAGCATGGAATACCTCACAAAGTAACACAGAAGCATTGATGCCCCTTGAGAGAAAAAAGACTTTTCAAAGCCATTCTGAATAAGGTTAGGGCATTTATTTATTTATTTATTTATTTATTTAGACATTATCTGGTAGCTGTCTGATCAGAAACTGTGCATTGGGTTCCTTGACTTCTACATACCTCCCAGTGAATTACTGGAGATCTGTGAGCTCAGCCTGGATAAGATGGGTGCAGTGTTTGAAGACAGTAACGTCTACATGTTACATATGATGTACCAGGCCATGGGTGTCTGTCTGTACGTGCAGGACTGGGAAGGTGCGCTGCGTTATGGACAAAAAATTATCAGACCATACAGGTAAATATGAGACTTTTTTTTTTCCTTAATGCTCCAGTTCAGTAATCTGAATAACTAAGACAAGTTTGGGCAGAGATTTCTTCTCTGAGTACTTAATGTACAAACGCACTACCTGTGACATCACTGCTTGAAACGGAGTGCTTACATTCAGCAGTTTGTTACTATCAGAATGTGGCCTGCAGTACACAGCTTCAGTCTGAAGTTCATGCTTTGAGTTTCAAATATGTTTATCCCACCATGGGTACTGTGCTAATTCTGGCTGTTTTTGTTTTTAATATTCTCCTAATACTTCACTAAAGCAGAGCTTTAAAGTGTGCCTGCAGTCCATTTTTGTGTAAGGTCATGGAGGCGAAGCCGGGTGTTAGTGCCAGCTTCCCACCCCCTCCCAGCTCCTTCTCTCAGCAGCAACTGCAGGAGCAGGGCAGGGTCCAGAGCTGGCACTGAGCAGCAGAGGGAGCTGGAGCTGAGCTTAGAGGTGCCCCACGATCCTGCTTTCCACACCGCCCTAGAGCTGCGGGCATGGGAGAGTGAGCAGACTGCAGCCCTGTGTGGAGCAAGTCAGCACATAACCTAACCTCTGTAGGAAACAATTAGTATTTTCCCCAATACTTTGTTTGTATTTTTACAGCAGTGGTCTTATTCTCTAGAGCCAGCCAGTTACACACTGCATGTGATCCTGCCAGTGTGTCTCCCAAGCAGATTCTCATCTTTGAGCCGTGACTCTCCTGCCAGCTGGGAGGAGCATGAGTAGAGCTCTCCCTTTGGAGCAGATGCCAATGTCGAGTCACAGATCGCTTGGCAGAGAGCAGTGATACAGAGAACGAGCCAGTGCTTTCTCCCTGGGGACTCTGTACTATTTATCTTCCCTGGGACTTGCCCGGCTCTTCTGGCTCCAAGCCTGGCATTCCAGGTCAGCTCTGCTGAACTGGGCTCTGCCAGCTCAGTGAGAAGCAAATGTGGGGCTGATAAGTGCTGCATACACTGTTGAGGGACCGCAGCTTTCCAATAAAGACTGACCATTATGGGATAAGCAGAGTTATTTCTGCAGAGGGTGAAAAATGGTAACAATGCAGTCATTTTCTGTAGCTGGAGAGATGAAAACCAGTGACAGAAAGTCACTGCCATCTGACAGCTGTTCATAGGCATATGGTAGCTTCAGTTCAGTTCCCAATTGCCAGGCAGCACCATTCTAGAAAAAAACTGGCGCTGGCTCTTGGCAGTACAGCAGAGGGGCTGAGCAGTAAATGGGCAGGGGCAGGAGAGGCAGAGCAGGGGGCAGAGGGAAGCTCTGGGTCTGCCATATTTGATAAAGTCTATTTTCTTTCTCCGTTGCAGTAAGCATTATCCTTCCTACTCACTGAACGTTGCCTCCATGTGGCTGAAATTAGGGAGACTGTACATGGCACTGGAGAACAGACCAGCTGGAGATAAAGCTCTGAAGAAGGTATTTCCTGATTTCTTCATTAATAATAAAAATTCAGGCATAGAGTCATTGGAACGTGACATGCTTCTGTTAGTAAGCCTGGCTTGGTAGAAAAGGCAGCATTTGTTAAGATGTTTGGTTACAGGAATTTTGGCTTAGTTGCACTCTGGGTCTCTTCTCTACTAAAAGGAGCCTTATTTTTTCACAGTGGACTTCCACTGTTACACATCTTCACTGAGCTAGAGCTGTGCTAGTGCAATTGGAGCAGAACTTCAGCTTCTCCTTACTTGCAGGGTAAGGACAGAAAAAAACGCTCGGTTCTTAAGAAAGGCACACAGTGCTTCACTGATGCCTGTGATTTCTATATCCAAGTTAAACTAGGCATGCTTTTGGTGGTTATTTGTTCTGGAACCAATTGATTTTTAAATAGCTGAAGGGAATTCAATGCATATAGTAATGCTCAAATTGGCAAATACAGCATTAGATTTTACATTTTTCTTCACCCTTTTTTGTAAGTCTGTTCCTTGTTCTTTAAGTTTTTATTCCTTTATTTTTTTTACTATTCTGTTGCATGTTTCTTGACTGTCTTCCCCTATTGTCGTTGACAAGTGTTTATTTTTGTTTCCTAAGTATCAGTGATTACTTCAGTATATAATAGCTCAGTATGGAATGTCATGGATTTTTTTTTTTGTTCTTTTACATTTTTGGATGCTGGCAATTTTTTAGCCAACAACAGCAAATCTGTACAGCCATGGTGAAGGATGATGCAGGAATATGCACTCTCAGATGTAACCATCAGCTGATTCAAAATTAGCGTAGGTTTTTCTTCATAGAATCAGAGAATGGCCTGGGTTGAAAAGGACCACAATGATCATCTAGTTTCAACCCCCTGCTATGTGCAGGGTCTTCACTTCAGCTCTGACTAAAACTGGGATTGGTGCCACTGTGAACACAGTCTGGGGAGCGGGGGAGCTGTAGGTAGGGTGGTTGGCATAGTTAGTTAGCTTCCTAACACAAACATTTTCTTATGACTCATTTCCAAAAGCTGCCTGCAGGGACTGCCCAAAGTTATCCCAGCCCCTGAGGTTTAGAATTCAGTGGAAAAACAAAACCATTGTTCTCTGTCACTTTGCAGAAGCTCATCCAGAAGGCTGTCACTTCTTTGGGGGCAGGAGGGGGATGGAGTCATTTCTCACTGCTGCTGAGATAGAGCCTAAGGCTCCCATCAACTTAACTAACAGAAGAGGATAATTCCATAGAATTTCCTGAGGGGAAAATGACTAAATGTTGTTACTGTCAGGGTGCTGCAGTTCTTTGCTTCATCTTATCACTGTGGTCTTTAAATATTCTCAGATGCTTCAAATTTACTTTTTTCCAGTCCTGTCTGCTGTTGTGTCGTCTTACATATGTCTGGGGCACTGCTATCCTTTTCTCAAGTGGAAATCTTCCTCCTGTAAGCCACTCTGTAGTGCAGTGGGGATATTGGCAGGAGGTTGCAGGGCATTGGGTTTGGCTGTCCAAAATGTTCAATTGTAGGAACAACAGAGCCATCTGTAGGTGAAGTGGCAGGGAATCTGGCACAGCAGAGCCTCAAGCTGAAGAGATCTGGTTTTCAGTTCAAATGCTGCTTCCTTCCTAAAGCGTTGGTGGCCCTGGAACCAGGGAAGGGTTTACAGAATCAGCTCTGGTATACCTTTTATCAACTTCTGCACTAGCCCAGCCACTAGCTTGTGGCTCTGGCAGCTGAAGGATGAATTGGTAGGAACAGAGCTTCCATCTGATACTGGTTAAGTATACTGCCAGAATATTACCCACCCCACATGCAGTTTTCTGTCCTGGAGCTGGTTGCATTCAAAGTAATTTTCTCAGGAATATAATTTTGAAAGGTGCTTTGGGATCCTGTAAGATGAAAGAAGTATTATATGAATGTAAAAACCTTTATTACTTAGTTTTGAATTTCATTTCATTTCCTACTGGGTTTGTGACTACAAGGGGACAAAATGTAGCTAGAGGTGTCAGACTGCTTCAAACCTCTAAAGAGAGTATTTATAGCCTAGTGTTATATATGAATCAATTGTGTGAATATTTTTTTTTTCCCTCTTCATAGGCAATTGCCATCATGGAAGTAGCACACGGGAAAGATCATCCATACATTTCAGAGATCAAAAAGGAATTAGAGGACCACTGAGCCTTTGAATCTATGCAATCCTTCAAACCTTTATTTAAAAAGCCTTGTTATGGAAACCTTCAGGAGCGCTTTGAAAAGCGGTAGAGTATGAACACAGTTCTGTCCTATAATTGGAATGACAAACACACTTAGGGTTTGCAAAATGTTTCTAGCCTCTACAAATCTACAGTTGCCTTTTTTTGTTGTTGTTGTTTTTGAAGGAAACAGCCATGATTACTTAGAGGATATGCCTCTTGACTGCTCGTGCAAAAATGGCCAATTTTTCTTTAAGGATTTTAATGTGTAAAATAAAGTGGTCTTGACCTCTCTCGATTCCATTTGTACACTTCCATGACTGCAAATAGTTAGACGTTTTTTCCTAAGTGGCCTCCTTTAATCTGTCCAATTAATGAGCAAAACCCACACGGTTTTTATTGTTGGTGTGGCTTAGTATCCAATTTCTCTTCACAAATCATTTCTGCTTGCAGTGACTTAGCTGAGAGAAAGGAGAAAAAGGGCCGATGTATTCTGTGCGTCGTATAGGAAAGCCACCACCTTTCCCTCAGCAGTTCAGCTGCAGGTCCATCACTGCTCCTAGCAGGTAGGAATTTGTCACTGTAAGTACCTAGAGCTCAGCATGCGATGCACAGAGCCTGCTGGCACCTGTCTCAGAGCTCAAGTGTTGCACAAGACATGAATTGTGCAACTTCTGGTATTTCAATCCCCTTTATAAGTTATGATAAACTTATTACAGTGGGTTAAAGCTGTTCTACTAGCTGTTACTCTTAGTGGAGAGACAAGACCTTTTTTGAGGAAATAATCCAGAGGACATCTGCTTTCCTTACACATCTGTAAGACTGGAGTATTTTTCTCCTCTCTTTAGATTGATGGCAGAATATATTTTTTTTTAAAGGAGGGAGGGAGGAAGAGAGTAGCTCTGTACTTCCAGTACCATTCAGAGTTATGTATATTGCACAGTAAAACTAGATGACTGTTCTTTACTGCTTTCACATCTTAGAAAGTACAATGAGAGCCAGTACATCACTCCTGTTTAAAAGTATCTTATTTTCTTACTTGTAAGTGTTCCTCTGAAAATAAAACACCTAGAGAGCAAGGGTTCACCAGATCATTTTGCTGAAAGCTGTCAGTGCTCTTTAGCAAGCACTTGGTAGTGAAATACATAAAACTGCACCAGATCTTATGACTCCAGAGATTCAGGACCATTTAACCACAGCCAAACCTAGGAAGGGTGTAGCAGCTGCCTATTTCAAGCCTACCTTAACCTTGTCATGCAAACCCTTGTGTAGGGAAATAGCACCTTCATGTCAGAGGTGAGAAGTCCAGGCTCTGATCAGAGCTATACCTCAACATTAGAGAATGAAGAGCAGCTTAATTTGAGCACAAGTAGCTTTCCCCTTGAGACACTGGTGTGCCATTTATAGAAGATTCTTCAGATCTCAGGGTAGCTTTCATTATGCCAATCAGGCTAACATGGAAAACTAACACTAACACAAGCACAGAAGGTGCAAATACAGACCACCCTTAAGCCAGCAGAGCAAAGAACTCAAGCATTGTTTTCCTTGAAAAAAATGGTTTATTGTATATTGTGAATATGAAGGACAGCCTTACCAAAAAAAAAAAAAAAAACAACTTAGTGATGGAAAACATTTTCATATTTGAAAAGGCTATATTTACATAAAGGCAGTGAAGGGTAAAAAAAAAAAATATTGCAGTCAATTAATGCCGAATAGAACTTTATAAAAAGAGAAAGAGAAGAAACAGTGCAAAAATACTGTCAAAAGTAATCAGTTCTATACATAAGATAAAACTGACAAGCATAAGCTTATGTACTGATAAGAATAATACATTAAGATATAAAATAGCATGCATAGATTTATTTTTTTTTAAAAAAAAAGACTTTCAATATCATAGCATAGTTCTGCCATTCATCCCTAACAGGAGATGGGGGGGGCAGGAAGGGCATGTAATTGATATCCCGTTTCTCTACAAAATGTATACATACAATGAGGGTGTGAGATTCAGATTACTGTTTGAGCTAAATGGTCATGTACAGAATTACAGAACAAATACAACCAAAGCATAAAAATACTGAAGTAAAACAGGACAGTAAAATCCAGTGACATAAAACTTATTTAAACATGTTATTTCATTGAACATGACCCACACAATTATATGTGGGAATATTACAGTCATCTGCATGTGTAAACTCTTCTCCTTTGTAAAATATCAAAAGAAAGGTACTTAACCAATGAGGAAAACATGTTTTCCATATGGAGCAATCTCAACAGGGTAAACAAGTAACAAACTATTAACAATGTTTCTGGCACTAAAAAGCTTTTTCTTTTTAATTAAAGATTCCGAGTAGCAGCAAGAAAATACTTTTAACATACACAAAAAGGAAGTTCTTACATATTTATGTATAATTAAATTGTGGGACTCACCAACATAGGATGTTGTGAAGGCCAGAGGAATAATTGGGTTTAAAAGCAATTCATTGAAGATGGAGCTATCAGTGATTTTTAAACACAAAAATTGGGATAAATATAAAACTTGGGAAGCCCCTAAATCACTGATTGCCAGCTGTGCTATTGGGACTGAACACCCTGTGCTACCTTCAATTATTTTTCTTCCTTTAGCATCAAATACCAGCCTGCCTTGGAAGAATTTTATAGGAAGCCTTCCTCACTCTTGCCTGTCTGATCAGGGACTGCTTCCACTGAAGTGTCTTAGTACAGAGACTCAATCCAAAACACTGACTGTCTTTAAGTAGATGATCTAGAAGAAGAAAAACAAAACTATTAAGCACTAATACTTGAGCAGATGCCTGAAATGAACATAGGTTGTTTGATTTTTGGGGTTTTTTTCACTGTTAAAGAGTACTGGGATTCTCCAATGAGAGCTGTTCTTCTACCCATTACTTCCAGGCCACCCTCCAAAGGCAAAGTCCCACTGCTGCAGCAGGGAAACTCTCAGTTAAGGTGTGCGCAGATCAAAAGTATCAGTACTTCAACAATGAGGAAAACACCAGCTGAAAAATGGCTGAGAGGAACTAAGTGAATTTCACTGGTTTTAGAATATCTTACACTAAAAATCTATTTACTTTTAAATATTTATATAAACACTGCTATTTTTAAGCTGCACAGTATTGTTTTGTTCCACAATCTAACAGGAATTTATCTGTGGCTAAGAACTCAGCCTTCTCTTGTTGGCCCAAGAGCCCAAACAACCAACTGTTCTCTTCCTCAAATCACAGTCCTTGCAAGTCAAGGCTGCACGTGGCTGCATGCGTGATGTCCTCCTCTCTTCTCTCACAAGGCAAGAGCTTCCTCAGTTCTGTAAGGAAAACCTTTATAGAAGGCTAAGAATGAGCTGGGGACAGTTGCCTTCAGGATTTTGGCCCTGTAGCCCTTCTTTTGTTGACATCAAACTCCATACTGCACAACTGAACCATACATACAGCAGCAGAATTGTGTACATTTTTATGGAGTACTTTTATGGAGATTAGGTTTTCATGCAGTGTTTTACCTTGCAAGATCAGTTATGAATATTTGCTTCTTCAGTACGATACACCCTTTATTTCATGAAATGTGTGCCACCCTTGAGTTCCACATGTATTCTTTTCCCTAAAAACAGCAGCAAAATTTAACCTCTCAGTGAGGTATGAAAGCTGCTACAGCAGCGGGGATCAGCCATACTGATACTTCTACTTTTTGAGTGCACAGCTCCTAGACTGTTAGCAAGACTGACAACAACTAATTCAGTCTTCATGTCATCCCAGAAAACTGCTGGGAAGTTGGCTGCTGTGAGCCAACTGTTAGAAACTGTATGGTTTCTAACTGCTGAATTGCCTGCTACCCACAGGTGAATCTCCTTTCACTCGAAACACTAGTTTAAGGAAAAACTACTTCCAGTAAGGCTGAGCATTTGGGGTCCCTATACACCTATTAATAGAAGGTTTGTGGGATCAAGCTCTGTCTTACCTCAACTGGCCGAGGATAAGAGGTGCCAAGGCAGGCCTGGGCAGCAGCTGGAACAAGTGGGACCTGAGCAGCTGACGTGCAGCTCCACTGTTCTCCAGCGCAGCCCATGGAGGACAGAAACTGGATGTCAGCAGCACTGGGCAGACTGCTGGTGAGCGACTCAACTGAGATCTCCCATCCTCAACTCAGACAACGTTAAGCATGAAATGCTCTGACCATAACATTAAGCGAAAATTTGATGCCATCAACCTCAATGCAAACATTGGGATGAGTTTAAAGAAAAAGAAGCTGTTAAATATTGTGAAAGAAAATATAGATTAAAAGTGCATAAAAAGGAGAAGACACAGAATGAATTCCCAACTAAGGCTCATCCACTCTGAGCTTTCTCCTAGAAAATAATCTGAGGAGCATAGCCTAAATGTGCCAGACTGCAACATGGGAACCTTGGAGAAGACTGTTGGTTTCCAATGTTTTAAGGTATGATTCCGTTTTCTTTAAATTGATGTTTTGTTTTTTTTTTTTAAATAAGATTTTCAATCCAAACTTCATTCAAAATGGATGAAACTGTTCTACTGTAACCTACTCACTGTCACATTTTGGGTTAAAAAGTACATGATGCTGCAACCCAAAATTGTCCTCCCCTTGTAGTAAAGAATTCTGCTGTTATGTCTGTGGGCCAGAAACTGAACAGAACTGCTTTAAGTCTGATGGTTTCACTCCTACAATGACTAATGAAACTGGATACAATACGCATTTTCCTGTCACTCCCTAAAGTGTTAGGAAGTATTGCCCAAGTGGTTTAGGACTGATAAAGCTACAACAAGTTAAAGTCAGGAGGTTCAGTTTTTCCCCTACAACAGTGTAACCCATTTCAGTAATAAATCATTGATGTGCTGAGATTCATTTGCAAGCTGGGGTAGAAAAGAACCTCTAATGACACACACTGCCCCAGTTCACTTATGATATTAGCAAGCAGATCAAGTCAAGATAAAATATGTCAGGAAAAAATAGACAAGTCAGATGAAAGGGAAAATTTAAAATTACCGTTCTTTGACAATGAAAGGGAAAAAATGAGTCACGTTGGCTTCTATCTACCACACCAGCCGTCTTAGGAATTAATTGGAAATGACTGTTTACTATGTGGCCATTTATTTGGCTCATTAATGAGTACTGACTTAATTTGGAAAGGATTTTTGGTGCCATTTCATAATTAATATTTTTCTAAGACACTTATAATGTGACGCTTGCTTAATTTTCCTTTTAAACACAGCTATTTACATTCTCTTATGAAGTAACTTTTTTGTACTGACTGTAGAAACAGTAGGATGCATTTCAGCCAAGAATAACTGAGTAATAAGACACAGGGGCAGATTATTTTTCCTCCTGATTTTCTACTTCTCAAATTCCAAGTGGAGCAATGGGACTTGACAGCTCTGAGTTCAAACTTAATTCATCATTAGGAAATTATTCAAAAAGCTAAAATGAGATAACTAATTTAATACACTTTGCTTCAAGGTTTATTCTTTGGCTTGTTTCCCAGATGTAAAGCATCTCTGTGCAATTATCATGCAGATGCTGCTGAAAAGACTTTAAAATGGTTGCTGCTAATGTAACAGGAGACACGTTGGCAGTGGCAGAAGGAATTAGAGAAAACTGAAGTTGACTGAAAACTCAACTGATCCCTAAAAGGAACATGGTTAAGATATTACAGCTAAAGAAGTCACGGCCATTTGTTGGTTGCTGAAAATCTCTACTAGAATTCCTGTCACATTGTTACACCCATATGGCATAGCAGCAAAAAAAGCAGAGTTTTACATGCATTTCAGAAGGACTCTGGTACAGAGCCTTAGATTAAGCCCTCGCAGCATTTAGGGAAAAGCAGGAGTGTAGGTCCCATTAGTGATCCTGAACTCAGAGTACTTGGCTTAGGCCTTTATACATTGACTTAAAGCTAGTTATGGCTTGGCCATATGCATTTAAAACAAGAACAGCAGAACAACTGGTTTTCTTTGTTGCCACATAGTAGTAGGGAAGTTTCAGAAAAGCAGCAGTGTGAGATGCTCTCAGATGAGTGCAGTAATTGTGACTCTCCAAAACACTGCGGTCTTTTTTGGATTGCAGTCTGTTCTGGGATGCACCTGAATCATTTGGGAGCTGGGAATTTACGTCCCATGGCCTTTAACAATGTCAACCTGACCTGTTCCATCTGCTGCTGCTGAAACTGTTGTTAGCAGAAAGGCAAACAACTGCATTTCACATAATGCCACATAGCAGCTGTATCCTCAGAAGAAATGAAGACACACGTCATTTAGGAAAGAAAAACAGTAGGAAATAGGGGGAAAAAAAAAAAAAAAAAACAGGGCACCAGCTTGTGCTGGGGATGCAAAACTGCAGACAGAGGGAGGACAAAGTGAGCATGAAAGGAACGTGGATTCTGGAAAGGGAGGAGAGTGACCTTGGAGTAGGGGTGGAAATGAGATAAGGATGGGGCCACCCATTCGGAGGTATGGGTAAGAAGGAAAAGCAGTGAAGGACTAAATGATGAAATTTATCTGGGAAATGATTACCAAGAATTTAACTGAAAGAGTAACTACATTGCATCTGGTTATTCAGGGAGGTTGCAATACCTCCACTCTTGGAAATTTTTGAAATTTTACTGGATGTGCCCCTGGGCAAGCCTGTCCAACACTGTGCTGAGCAGGGCTAGGGAGTCTGCATGGGCTCCCTTCCAGCCTGATCCATCCTCCAGCAGGTCCAAGCAGAGCACTGGCAGGAGGTGGTAGCAAGGAAAGGAAAAAGGAGTCAGCATGATGAGGGAAGCAATCTCAGTGCAGGAACTTCTCTGTCCATCTCATGCACCATAAGTAACAAGGTGGGAATTGCATCATGACTTGTTAAAGCTTTTTTTTTTATATATATATACAGTTCCTGTCGCTTCTAAGTAACTGTAAGTACATGCTACCATGCATATGCTGCAAGGTAATTCATAATGTGATTTGCTCCAATGAAACAATCTGGAGAAAGGATCATGCACAAAGTTGTGCAAAACAGCTGGTGAATGCTGAGGGACAGAAGAGGAGAAAGAGCAGAGGACAGGCCTGGCCAGTGAAATACTTGCAGGACATGGATTTTTTTCTTAGCTCTACCATAGACTTCACTTTTGGGCCAGGGCAAGCCATTTAAGAACTCGTTAATCTAGCTGTGAAGTGGATGAGTAGGTTTGTTCCCTTTTCTGTTATGAACTTCAGGCAAGGACTGTTAGTCCATTATGTACTCATGCAATGTCTGGTACAACAGACTCCTAATCCTAACTGGAAACCCTGAAGACTACCAGGATAAAAGAGTAATAATAAATAGAAGGGGGAACCCAAATGACCAGTAGTGTTGAAACAGCAGCCTGAGAAGAGAGATGGTTTGTGCAATTTAATACAAAAAAACACCCTAACAAGATGAGAGCTACCAATACCAAAAAACTGCTTGGTACATGCACAAATCACAAGATGGTGATGGGGAAACAATCAGGGCAGACTCTAAACTAAAGCCCTCAAGAATCACTGCTGGACAGAATAAAAATAGCACTGATTGTTTTTACGAAGTTCAGTGGACTAGAAAATAAAACAACTACAGCACTGAAAACACAGGAAACAAAGACAGGTGACTGGAGATGTCCAATTTGAATTTGATTCCTTTTCCACACAAGGTTATCATAAGGCAATAAAAGTTTCTGTGCAATTCATAAAAGATGCTTCTTTTGATACATTTTTTTTTTTTCAGCTGCATGTAGTTGAAACCCTCTACTGCTCAACCTGTATCTACAGGAAAGATGCACTAGTCTCACCCTGCTCTTGGTCAGTTTTCTAATACTGCTTCAACTCTTACACGAATCCCTTTAAGGACCACAAATAGCAAAGGCTTAATTTAAAAGAACCAATATTGCTTATTTAAGGACTAATCTAAAACTGTAATTCTTATGGAATTTGAACAGTTCAGCACCCAAATTCTCTGCCCTCACAACAGCCCATGCTTGAGCCCTCTGTAATGTGCCCTGCATATGCAGAGGCTTAGGTCTCCCTGTCCCAGGACGGCGTGTCCTCCGCTTCCATTTAGAACTGTATTTGACATCTAGCAGGTCTTTCTTTCTTCTTTTTAAATCATAGAAGCTACACATCTGGGTCAGAATGTTCTTATGTAAGACAAAACCTGCTGCCAAATAACTGTTCATTTCAGAAATTGTGTAGTAAAATAAAGGCCAGTATTCTACATTTATGAAGGATTGCCGTCCCTACGGACATGTTACAATGCAGACCAGTCATGTCAAATATAGTTCAATTTGAAGCTCACGTAAGCTTTACAAGTTATTAAAGTAATTCACAAATTATTCTAAGAAAAATAAATTATATCTTCTATAAAATAATCCATGGGAGACTCTAGTAAAGAACAAATTCCTTACTTTCAAGACAGCTTTAAAAAGTGCAACATGGATTGCACGCTGTGTTGTCAAGGCAGTTCCCCTCATTCATTAGAAAGGTTCAGTCACATCCACAAAGCTGGCTCTGAGATGTTTGAAGAGATTAAATAAGTCTTGAGTTTTGCAGGAACTGGATGAGCACTTGATAGACAAATTTGTACTGGGCTATGGTCTGGATCATAAACATTCTCTGCTCCCGCAGGTGTCTCAGCATCACAGGGACATCCACTTTCTGTAAAGTCAAGGAAAAATTCATAAAGATGTAAGTTTGTTAGATCAAACAGTCATTACATCAAGTTTCAGTTATAATGTAATGAATTTTAACCAATCATAGTGAACTATTACAATTTTTTGTCACCAATTTTTGAATAATTTAAGGATTAAATCATTAGCGCACAAAAGGTTACTGTGCATTTGGTGCTTTCCCAGCTAAAGCTTATGTGAAGTTCTGGACCAGTCTAAACTTGCAGATGACCACATACTCTCATCCTCCAATGGTGTACCACTTATTACCTCTCATCAACTGAACGTAAAATAAAGGGTTTGTTCTCTTTGCAAGTTTCTAATTCAATATAGCTATTTTCAACTCAGTAAAACGTACTGTATTACCTCAGGCTAAGACCTAGATATATCAGTAAGGTCTAACACAAAATTGGAACAGCTAATACTGTATAGTCCAGTTCAACTCCACCACTCAGTGCCTACTGCTCTGATCCATGCTTAAGTACCTTCACTGAGAGAGGATCTGAGAGAGTTTTCAAATGAAAGCAGGTATATGATTTGAAGAATAAAAGTTCCTCAAACAAAATTGAAGTGCAGGCAAATATACTGATCTTTCCACTACAGGAAGGAAAATGACTGTCACCAAAAGATCCAAGAACCCTGACACCTCACCTCCCACAGCTAAGTCTGTGCTACTGCATAGCACTCTGTAAGAACATCAGTCCATAAAGTAAAACAGTTGGCCCTGAAGATCCTAAATCCACCATATTTATTTTGCAGACTTCAGGCTAGTGTTTGTCTGCTGCCATGTACTCAGTGTCCATTAGCAGCTGGAAAACATTTGATGCCTTCCAAAAAAGCATCTTCCAGCTTTGTTTCATCCAAATGAAATTCATCTGTGTGCCCTGAAAATGCTCTGCAACAGGAATTAAAGTACAGTAAGTGGGGACAGATTGGAAGATCCACTGTAAGAGTATACCTCTAATCCTAATGAGCACATAGATGCACATGCATTCTGTAATGGTCTGATTCAGAAAACAAATAAGCTGTGTGAAGCAGGGATTTTTCTGAAGTAAAACATGATTTGCTGTAAAATTCACTTGGCATTGCCATCATATCTCCAGAATTTAGAGAGAAAAAGAGCTATGATGTTACCATGTTTCAGCTGTTACAACTAGTACACAAGGAACCATTCTAAAGTCACTGAGCCATGAAACTGAGCCATGAAGCTGAGCCTGAGGCTCAGATTCAAAGAAAGTCTACATAGTGCATCCCAGAATGAAGGATTTTGTTTTCTATTGCAGCAGTAAACATAAGCACAAGGATTCGTGCTCCTGTTGAGGGAAGTTCTTAAGTACTGCAAGATATAAAACCTTATCAGGCAACACAAGTGCTCTTTGTAACGTTAGTTACCGTTCCCAAAATACACAAAAGATCTTGGCAAATTTTTTGGCTGCAATGAGAAGTACTTCAATTACAATGCCTGAGCAAAAGAACAGAGACAAATTAAGATTTCTGCTAGTCACTCACTGGAGGCCCAACTGAGCATGCACACACAGTGGAAATTTTCTTCTAAGTCTTTTTGCACGCACAGTGGAAATTTTCTGGAAAGTTTAAAATAAGAATCACACTACATATCCATTTCTGTCTGCTTGTATAAAGCTCAGAATCTACATTCTATGTAAACAAGCTCCAACCTATATACCATTTCTTTCTGAAAACAAGGCTGGCTGTTCTGCCACATCCCCAAACAAGCTGTTACAGGATCAATTCTAGAGAGTCAACAAGCGTAAAGATCTGTACGCTGGGATGGGTAATGTTATATTATCTTTGGTGGGTAATAAGGAAAACATAAGCTCGTTTCAGTTAACTTGGCTAACTTGGAGAAAGTCTTCCTGTGGAACTGAGTGCTTACAAAAGCCATTTGGTCCTTGCTGAGCAAAGTCACGCGGAACTCAATCGCCCCTGAATCACAACAACAGAATGTGGGCCAGCTTCAACCTGCACAGCCACGTTTATCTTAGTGATTTGGTGCATGACAGTTCACTCATTTGTACTTGGCCTCAGTGACTCTGTGCATCTCCGTGTATCACACAACACTTTCATTTATCTCAGAAAAGAAAAGCCCAGCTCACCTATTTGCCTTCACTCTCTGTTGTCAAACTATTTTTTTACTCCAGGTAAGCAGAACCTTCAGTATACCTTCAACAAAAGTCACATAATGCTTTGCTAAGGTATCTTTTGCAAAAAAGAAAAAAAAAAAGTTACTCAATTTCTGACTCCCAAACTAAAGATCTCCCCTGTAAAGATGCATTGATCATATGATCTGAGTTCATGTTTCAGTGAGTACAGCAGTAAGGACTTAATGATGTGACTTAGCGCATTTCTTACTGTATGGCACTCTACTGAAAATATATCCCTGCAACAGGATACACAGCTGAAGACTCAACCAGCAAGTGCCTGCAAGTTGCAGTGAGTGAAGCTATACAGCAACTGATTCAAAATGGATTCTCAACTAAACCTGAAAACTCAAAATCAAGCAAAATTTCCAGCATTGCTGCAGACTTCCCAGGATGGTCTTTACTAGCATTTTCAACCCCTTTTTTCCATGTTAACATCAGTACATCTACTTATAATGACACTTCCAAAGAAATCAATCAATTCCTAAGACTAAGAATTAAAACTTTTTAAGTAACAACCTATTTTATTTCAAAAAGAAATGCAAACAATTAATCCTACTTCAAAATAAACCACTATGATTCCTGCATGAAATGAAACCATCTTTGTATAGAATGCAGTA